AGGATAAACGCACAAGTTTTTGATGTTGTTTTAAGAGACATATTTTGTTTATGATATTTGCTGATCAATGGCTGGCTGTTTCTCTCCCTCAGGACTCGCCACAGCTGCAGATTCCTGGCGCTGCCGTTGGGTCGTGAGCCTTGGAAATTCCGGGTCTTCTTGGGGTCTTCGGCGTCCTCCTCCTCCGCCCTTCTGCAGGACCTCCTCTCCCCCCCCTTCCCCTCCTCCTTCTCCTCCCCGTCGCCCACCAAAACACAACAAACACCCTATTATCTCTATCTCCTTATCCTCCTAGCTTCTCGTTTCTACTCTTACTTTCTCTTATCTTTCTAAACCTTTTCCCTCTTTCCACAATCCCCCTACCCCACCCCTACCCCCACCCTTCGCTCCTGCCCCGCGCCGCCATGCAGTCGCTCTCCCAGTATGTGATCATCAGCATGTGCATGAGGTTCACGGGCGATCTCCATGAGGACTGCATCGACAAGCACGCTGGCAGTCACAAGTACGACAGCACCTTCGTCAAGGATTACGGTGAGCGGCTGTCAAAATAAGGGGTTTTCCTGAGACGTTTTCCTGAAGAGATGTTTTTGTGTGGTGAGTGGTTGTTTTGGTTTTTTTTCTTCTTCTACTTTATTTCTTTCTTTCTTCTTTTTTTTTTTTTTTTTTTTACTTTCTCCTTAAAGGATATTTTCTGTGTGGTCAGTGGCTGTTTTCTTCTTCTTCTTTCTTCTCTTTCTTTTTTTCCCTGAAGAGATATTTTCCGTGTGGTGAGTGGCTGTATTTTTTTTCTTTCTTTCTTTCTTTTCTTTCTTTTTCTTTTCACTTTCTCCTAAAAGGATATTTCTGTGTGGCGAGTGGCTGTTTTTTCCCCTTTTTTTTTTCTTTTCTTTTTTTTTTACTTTCTCCTAAAAGGATATCTTTTGTGTGGTGAGTGCCTGTTTCCTTTTTTCTTTTTTTCTTTTTTTTTTTTTTACTTTCTCCTAAAAGGATATTTTCTGTTTGGTGAGTGGCTGTTTTTTCTTTTCTTTTTTTTCTCCTAAAAGGATATCTTTTATGTGGTGAGTGGATGTGAAAATTATGATCTTTTCTTTATTGTCTCCTAAAAGAATATTTCCTGTGGTGAGTGGCTGTCAAAATAAGTTTTTACTTTTACTTTCTCCTAAAATTATATTTTCTGTGTGATGGCTGTCATTTTTTTTTTATGAGGAATTTCTCCTATAAGGATATTTACTGTGCTGAGCATCTCTCAAAATATATATATATATATATATATTATATATATATATATATATATATATATATAATATATATATATATATATATATATATATATATATATATATATGTTTATATATGTATATATACATACACAATCACACGCACACACATACACACTTTTTAGTTTCTCCTAAAAAGATATCTTTTGTGTGTGTGTGTGTGTGTGTAACACACACACACACACACACACACACACAACACACACACACACACACACACAACACACACACACACACATATATATATATATATAGTATATGTACATGTAATAAGGTAAAGTGTATGTGTTTGTGATAATATATGCATTTTGTGAGTCATGGATTCACAAAATTCATTTCCAAATGGTTACTTTCTGGGGCAACAGAGTCCTTCTCCCTCGAGTAAACTGCCACAAATATTTGTCCGGCGATTTCTTCGATTAGATTCTTTTCTTGGCGGTGAAAATTTGATGTCAAAATTCTGCTTCTGCTTTCAGTCTAACCATTATTTTCGGTGAATACTTTCTTTTTTGTCGGTGATGCTCTTAAGGCTACGACTGTCGTATTGATAGTATTATCAGTATTACTACGCACACACTTACACACGTACACTTTCACATTCATGCTCATTGTCACACACAGACAAACACACACACATGCACACACTAACACACTCTAACACACTAATACACGCACACACGCTCTAACACACGCAGACAAACACACTCTAACACACGCAGACAAACACACACTCTAACACACGCACACTCCAATCTAAACACACACACACGTAGACAACCATACACTCTAACACACGCACACACACATACCCTTATTCAAATATTCGTCTCAGAAATAAAAGCTACATGGTAGATTATCAAAGAGAGTGCGTTAATTATGGCTTTCTTCTTTATTCCTTTTTTATCAACCTTCTTTATATTCATCTTTCCTTTCCAATTTTCTCCATCCCTTTTTCGAAACCACGGACAAGCACGAAGGTAAAACCAGGGCATTTGCATAAATATGAACGGGTTTGTCCTCGCACGAGTCTAAATGAGAATAAAAACTGGAGTTCTTTTGCTATGTTTCAACGCGTGCTTATCGTCCCATGAATACAGTATGTTGTTTTTTTTCTGTCTCCATCTACCCCCTTCCTTCTTCCTACCTTCCCGTCCTCCTTTCGTTATTTCCAGTAATTATGAGGTCAGGGGCTCCGAGGTCATCTTGGGTCCTGTAGGTGAGTAAAGGCTTAGTGGAGATGAAGGTAATCTATTCTAGGAAATAAATCTGTCGTGGGTGAATTGATTTATTATCGATAGGAGAGAAAGGATTTCTTTTGTCTTTGGCCTCTTCCTCTGTCAAAATCAGATTAGCGATCATTACAATGATTATCATAATTTTCAAGGTCATGATGATATTTGAGTTTTATAATAATTTTGTTTGGGGTCATATCTATGAACAAATGTTGTTTTTTTTCTCATGTAGAATTAATCATTATCCAAGTTATTCCGTGAACTTGTTTATGTATTCCGCTTCCCTACAGAGTATGTGCGTGTTTAGACGGTATACATGAACATACTCAAATATACCCACATGCAAAGGCGTTCGCACAAAGGGTAGAGTAAACTCACGGTTGACGTTTCATCTAATAACATTTACAACATAATATGCACCTTTTCAAGAAGAGTTGAGTGCCTTTAGTACATTGTGTGAGTAACAGAACTCCTGGCCATTGGTACAGTAGATATTCAGGAGACGAGTATGTTAACTAGGTCAATATGCGTTATACTAGTCTAGTTTTGGTGTCGTGATGTAACCGTCATCCTCATATATTAAGCAAATATAACCTACTTTACTCCATGACTAGTATAGCATTCGTTTATACTGAAAGATCTTTAACTTGGCCACTTAATAGCAAGGGCGTGTTAGTTACTGGTTAGACCTGTACACTGCGCATAACAGTATATCGAGCGTCATCCATGGTAGAGCAGTTTGCCCTTTCACGAGCTTTCCTGACGTAATATTCGACATGGCTATTATTTGCTTCTGTAGTCGTGGGCTTCGGAATAAACTGACATTCCGACCTATAAACATTCCTTCAATTCCGCATTCTTCGGTTTTCAGATTCGTAAAAAAGTGGACTAGATATTTTTTAGTACTTTCCCTCCCAGAGTTGTGTCAGCATGCTATGTCCTCGCATATACAGATGGCAAGGGCTATGGCCTCATTCTCTAAATTTCAAGGTTTTTTTATCTATGTACAGAATAGTTTACCAACATTGATATCCTAATTACTACAAAGTGGCAGACGGGTGGATATCGAGTTCTTAATCTTCTTTGTCTTTTATCGGAGCATCTGCATGGTAAACGTCTGAGTAATTAACCCAATTAAATTATATTAATCTGTGCACTTAGTTGGCTTAGTCCTTTATCTACAACCCTGGCTATCTGCTCGGGCGGGGGGGGGGGGAAATCAGGGTTACAGAGTTTTACATATACTTGACATAGTGCAGTAGGAGAAGCATATGTGAAATGTTGTGGGGAGCTTCCTAAGAGTTTTTCTGACGCTGCTCCTCGCTGACTCAACTGTCGAACAATTGAAACCATGACCTGTATATCAAATAAAAATATATAGTATATATCTGACTGTCTACACACACACGTACACATATACATATACATATGCATATACATATACATACTATACACAAATATATATATGTATATATATATATATATATATATATATATATATATATATATATATATATATATATTGTGTATATGTATGTGTGTGTGTGTGTGTGTGTGTGTGTGTGTGTGTGTGTGTGTGTGTGTGTGTGTGTGTGTGTGTGTTGATATATGTATACATATATACAAACATACATACAAACATACTCAAAAGGTTGAAAAAAAAATCCAATCAATAACGATTCCCCCTCCCCCCTCCCCCTCTCCCTCCCCAGAGCGCGCCCGCTACGTGTCCGTCCGCGCGGTGACGGAGCTGGCCCTCAACTCCCTCAACCACACCGACCTCGGAGGCATCACCATCCCCGTCGCCGTCACCAACGTGAGTGGTGGAGGAGGAGCAGGAGGCGGAGGGCTTCTCTCTTGTGTGATGGAGATAAAGGTGGTGGCGATGAGGAGGAGGAGGAGAGATAAAAAATGAATGATGATGATGAATGTATGTTATTAATAATCATCATATGATAGGAAGGTGATGTTTCTTCTGTTGTTGTTTTTTTTGTGTGTGGTAGTGATAAAAAAATTGTGGTAATGATAAGGACAATAAAAGTACTAACAATGATGATAATAATAGACGTTATCAATCATGATTATAATACGAAGGAGTGTAATAAGGCTAATCATCATGAAAATATTGTCATCAATAGTATTACTCACGACAGCAAGGATAGCGACAACACGATAATAGATAATAACACGAACACCAAAAAGAATAATGATAATAACAAAACGATAACATAGATGATAAGATAATAACACGAACACCGCAAAAGATAAACAACAATAACAAAGACCCCTCCCCCTCCCTCTCTCCGTCGCCCCCCCTCCCTCTCTCTCTCTCCACCCCCCCCCCTCTCTCTCTGCCCGCCCCACTCTCTCTCTGCCTTCCCCCCCACCCCGCCCACAGTACCCCCCTTCCTGTGGGTCCTGCAGGGGGAAGAGGAACACCGACAAGGACATCGCCGGCAGAGTCCTGGGCAAAGGCACCTCCTGGGAGCTCATGAGGACGTTGGGCGCCTTCTTCAACTTCCGGCCGGAGCCCAGGGTGGCGCTGGGGGATGTCGTGGGCCGGAGGGACGCCAACGGACGCTGGATGGGCGCCCTCGAGCTGCTGAAGGATGAGGTAGGTGTCGGGGAGGTGAGGGGGGAGAGGGAAAAGGAGGAGGGGAAGGAAGGAAGGAAAGAATAGGGGAGAGGGAAGGGGGGGGAGAAGGGGATGGGGAAGGGAGGGAAAAGGAGGGGAGAGAAAAGGGGATAGGGAGGGAGGGGGAGAGGGAAAGGATAGGGGGAGAGCGAAAAGGATAGGGAGGGGGAGGGGAGAACAGGAAGAGGATAGGGAGGAGAGGAGGAAAGCGAAGGGAGGGTAGAAAGGGAAAGAAAAAGGAGAGCGGAGAGGGAGAGGTGGGGAGTGGGGAGGGGATACAGGGAGAGGAGAAGGAGGGGTGGGGAATAGGAAGGAGATAAAGGAGGAACGGCAAGAGAAGGGAAGGAAGAGGAAAGAGTTAATCAGAGGAGAATGGAAGAGGTGAGGGAGGGGGAGGAGAGGGAGGAGGCAAGAGAGCTCGGTAGGGAAGAGAGAGGTGGAAGAAGGGGAGTCGTGGAATAGGGAGGGGAAGTGAGGGAGGGAGGCAAGGGAGAGAAGATGGAGGGGGAAGTGAGGGAGGGAGGGAAAAGGGGTTTTGGTATATATAAATTACCTTGAGATTTTGAATGATCTTGGTTTGCGAAAAGAAAATATTGGGATCACTTACGATCGGTGGTTTAGTCATTGTTTTTACTGTATAGTACTGAATTTTCTTTTCTTTTCTTTACTCACCTCTTCTCGTAGTCTGTTGTAGTTCCTTGGTTATTCCCTATGCATTATCTTATCTTCTTTATCTTTTCCTTTCTCTGTTTAGCTCCTCCTCTCCTACTTCTATCTCTCGGTCTCTTTAATCCCTCTCCCTCTGTCTCCCTTTTTTTTTTTTTTTTTTTTTGTACTCCTCCTTCTTTCCCTCTCTTCAGCTCTCTCATTCCCCCTACATCCCTTCTCAACTTTCTCATTCTCACCTTTTCCCATCCTCTCTTCATTCTCCCCCTCTATCCCTCTCAACTCCCTCCCTTTCTCTTTCTCCCTCTCTGTGTTTCTCAACCCCATCCTTCCTCCCTTTTTCCCATCTTCCTTCGTCTCCCTCTCTATTCTAATCGACTCCTTCCTACCCCTCCCTCCTTCCTTCTCCCTCTGAACCCTCCTCTCACCCCTCCCCCTTCTGCTTCCCGCTCCCCCCCCTTCCTTCTCCCTCGTCAACCCTCCACTCATCCCCCCCGACTTTCTTCTCCCTCTGTACCCCCTCTCACACCACCCCTTCCTTCTCCCTCTTAACCTGCTCTCACCCCCTCCTTCCTTCTCCCTCCCTCTCCCTGCTCATCCCCTCTCATTCCTTCTCCTCTGAACCCTCCTCTCACCCCCTCCCCTTTCCTTCTCCCTCTCAACCCCCTTCTCACCCTCCCTTCCTTTCCCTTCCTGTACGCGCCCTCTCACCACCCCCCTTCCTTCTCCGCTCTCAACGCGCTCTCACGCCCCCCCCTTGCCTTCTCCTCCCTCCCTCTTATCCCCCTCATTCCTTCTCTCCCTCTGCACCTCCCTCATCACCCTCACCCTTCGCTTTTCCTTCTGTACCCCCCTCTCACGCATCCCCCCTTTCCTTTCTCCCTACCTCTCGCCCTCTCAACCCCTCCCCTTCCTTCTTTCCTCTCACCACAGCCCCCTTCCTCTCCCTCCCTCTCCCCTCTCACCCCCCGCCTTCCCTTCTCCTCTGTTAACGCCCGCCTCTCAACGCCCCCCTTCCTTCTCCCTCTGTACCACCCTGCTCTCACCCCCGCTTCCTTCTCCCCTCAACGCCCCTGCTCACCCCTCCCCCCCTTCTCCTCTCACCCCCCCCCTTCCTTGCTCCCTCTGTACCCCCTCTCAACGCCCCCTTTCCTTCTCCCTACTGTACCCCCTCTGCAACCCCTCCTCCTTTCTTTTCCCTCTGTACCCCCTCTCACCCCCCCCCTTCCTTCTCCCTCTCAACCCGCTCTCACCCCCCCCCTTCCTTTCTCCCTCCTCTCCCTCTAACCCCTCTCATTCCTCTCCCTCTGCCCCTCTCCCACCACCTCCTCTTTTCCTTCTCCCTCTCAACCCCCCTCTCACCCTCCCCTTCCTTTTCCCTTCTGTACCCCCCCCTTTCCTTCTCCTCCCTTCCCTCTCAACCCCTCCCTTTCCCACTCTCACCCCCCTTCCTCTCCTCCCTCTCCCTCCACTCCCCCCCTTCCTTCTCCCTCTGAACCCTCTCAACCGCCCCATTCCTTCTCCCTCTGTACCCCCTCTCACCCCTCCCCTTTCCTCTCCCTCTGCACCCCCTCTCACCCCCCTCCCCCTTTCCTTCTATCTTCCTCTTCCTCTCACCCCCCCCCCCTTCCTTCTTCCTCTGCACCCCTCTTCACCCCTCCCCCCTTCCTTCTCCCTCTGCACCCCCTCTCACCCCTCACCCCCCTTTCCTTTCTCCCTCTCACCCCCTCTCCCCCTCCCCTTCCCTTCTTCAGGAGGCCGAGTTCACCGTGCTGCCCGTGACGGTGTCGAGCCCCCGGGAGGAGATCGTCGACTTCTCGATCCTTCTGGGCACCACCACCTTCGGAATCCTCGTCCGCCGCCCCGCCTACGTGCCCAAGCCGGACGCCCTGCTCAGGCCCTTCAACGTGGATGTGAGTTGTCTTTTTCCTTTTTTTTTTCTTTCTTTCTTTCTTTCTTTCTTTTTTTCTTTTCTTCTTTCGCTATCTATCTATTTTTCTTTCTCTCGCGATCTATCTATCTGTCTCTCTCTCTCTCTTCTCTCTCTCTCTCTCTCTCTCTCTCTCTCTCTCTCTCTCTCTCTCTCTCTCTCTCTCTCTCTCTCTCTCTCTCTTCTCTTTTCTCTCTCTCTCTCTCTCTCTTCTTTCTCTTTCTCTCTTTCTTTCTCTTTCTCTTTCTTCTCTTTCTCTCTTTCTCTCTCTTCTCTCTTTCTCTCTTTCTCTCTTCTCTCTCTCTCTCTCTCTCTCTCTCTCTCTCTCTCTCTCTCTCTCTCTCTCTCTCTCTTCTCTCTCTCTCTCCTCTCTCTCTCTCTCTCTCTCTCTCTCCCTCTCCCTCTCTCTTCTTTCCTCTTTTTTTTTTTTTTGAAAGAATGAGAATACTGAGTTGTCTTTCTGTTTTCTTTTTTTTTTTAAGGAGTAGGATACAGCTTCACTTAGACATATTTGAATGTTTATGTCTGTTTGTATATGCACATGTGTGTGCGTGTTGCATAAATGTATGCAAAATCACTCACACAAACATATACAAAAAATGGGGACGTTAAAGATTCTCCTTTCCTTCGGTTTGTAAGACTCGGGGGGGGGGGGGTAACCGGCAAAGTGTCACGATGACCACAAACACAGCCTTCTTAGCACAGAAATGAAATCAAACTCAGCCACCAGACACTACACGAAGGCCTCTCGAACCTGAAGAGGAGACTCCATTTTATCCGAAAAGTTGCGGTTTAATCTCCCTCATAGTTGTGGTTATTTTTCCCTTTTTATTAATCG